AGTACGGTTTGAACTGATTTTCCTTGCTTGCTAAAGAACTTTGTAACAGCACAGTACTCGATTTTCTCAATATTTCACAATTTTTCCCGATTGACTTGTTTCGTCGACGATAATTTAAAGAGTACTGACATAATTAGGATAAAACTTGGTATTTATACTAATAATGAGTTGCTTAATTCCTAATGACTCAAGTAAATACCCTCACTAATGACTTACCTACTTATTCCGCGAATTTAAAAACGCACCCTCGTAGTTACAAATGTATATTATAAACAGAAACAGTAGATATCTAATAAAAAGGGGCATATAGGCAGACACAAAAAGGCCCAGATTAAATTACTGTTTTCAAACTGTTAGAGATGTGGGCTACTTTAATATTAGCGTAAGATAGGAAGAAGCGGAGGTGTATATCCAACCAGTTTTAAAATCGTTTCAACACGTGGTACATCATATTTTTTATTCTCGATGGTAGATTTTTATTAGAAGGTTCTGAAGATCGCAAATATTCATGATTTTTAAGCGAACTCGTTATATATTAATATTTTCTTAGGTCATTATTATCGGCAAATTGACTATATTCCATGACATTACAAGTAGGCATTTGAATTCAGACTTAAACGATTGCCTTTCATGTAACCGAGTTCATTAGGGATACAGATTGTAACGTAGCTATTTACGTAGTTCAGATACGAAAAGCGCCGATGCCTATTACAGTTCGAATTACGAGTAATGAGAATTCTTTGTTACCTCCAAATAAGAGCATAAGTTTCGAAACCACTATTTGTTCCTTTACTACCAAACAAAACTTTTTGAGCTTTTATTGCCCGCATAAAAATACATTTCTATACAATGTAAACCTTTGTCTTTATGTCCTGATGTAGCGTTTCCATTATACATATGAGTATCAAATTTTATTAAGGAAGTCAACTGCCCACTCGTCAAAAAAATTTCCATAATGTGTTTACTATAGCAACAATTTCGATATTTCTGTACAATACAGTACATATAGCATCCTTAAAATTGAAACAAAAATTCTTTGGAATGCCTCAAACGCCTCTTCCTACGATTCTGGACTTACAATTAAATTTCAATATTTCATTTTTCTTTTACAATGAAAATAAAAAATACACCACAAACTTTGGTCTAGTTTGATTTATATTTTTACGTAATGAATTTTCCACTGTTTGTTTTGAAATTCATTCATCTCCATTAGGATTATACAAAAACATTCTGGAATTGTGCGTTATAACCAAACGTATAGCATCACGAACGAAACTATTCATTACAAGTAAACCGTTTGCCAGAAAAAAATAATGATTTCTCTACAAAAAATGTTTGTATATGGTTTAATTCAGGTCAACTGTTCCATATATTATTTAGCTTCTGTTTACCCTTAATTTTGCTTCTAGTATATATCTAACGAAAAGCCACTGAAAGTGGCAATCCTGGTTTAAATGTTTTAAAATTTTATGAAATTCCCATATAATAATAATTTAATTCAGCCTTTATATCATCCCTTATATGGACTATTTAATTTGAAAGTCGACTTTCTACTGTTAGATATGCACATATATCTAACTTCAATTACATAGAAATTCCCAACACAAAACTCGCTCAAGCCGATCTTGGAAAACTTTTGCGATAAAACCGTAAGTATCTACAATCTGCAAAGGAAAACAAAGAAATAATTCTTTAGAATGTAACCGATGTCGGCGTTGTAAACCGGAACATTAACGCCACCGAACAAATAACGAAGAGTTGTTGTAAGACGGCTTGGCGAGGTAATAATAATTAAAAATAGCCACTAATACATCCGCTTAGGAATTCCTGTTAAATCAACTCGGGTAAACGGTGTTGACGTTGCGGCTCAAAATCTGATAAAGAGCCACTTAACTGCTGCACAAGATGCCGCCTCTTTCGTAAGAGTTGAAAATGAGAACGGATTTTAATCAGAAGATGCCCCGTAATGACATTAAAACTAAGATTACAAACAACGGATACAACAATTAAATTTTACTTAAAATTAGGTACTGTATAATCAGACAGAATGTTTTTATATTAAAAGCCAGGAAGGATTGAGAAATATTAAAGTCAGCAGCTGTAGCCAAGTGTACACCACGGCAGGCTGATTAGAAATTGAAAAATTTCAGCCTACGATTTCGAAATTTATTTATACAGTAGTAGATACTATGGCACTAGTACATAGTAATAAGGGAATGTAGCCATACTACGTGACCCGTCTGTGAGGTAGGAGGGCTTGAAAAATACCACACTTGGTCATAGAAGCGGAGGACATTTAGGTTTTCGTCACACAATCAATGTCCTCTAGGAAAATCTCGCGCTTTTTCGAGCTAAACTGAAACCTTTCTGTTTGCAAAAAATTATTTAAAATAATATTTATGAATTACTAGATGAAAACTATACGTGGAGGGGTATTTTGGCATTTACTACGGGTGCTCACCGGTTATAAACAACATTAGCATGGTTCTACTAGCGACCTATATGCTGCCATTAAACAGCGTTCAATGAATAAGTACGGACAGCGTACTGAACGCCATCTTCAAAAACTTCCTACATATTATGAGATTCAATAATGCTCAACACGGTCCTGTCCTTAAGGATATCAATTAATCAAATTAAATTTATGGCGTAGTTATATATGTAATAGACAAAATGCATCTATTTACTACAACAAATTATTCATAGGTACGTTTAATTCTGTAAAAAGAGTATATTACGGCATTCCTTTTCGGGTGTGAATTACCACCTGGGAGATGCCATTCTTTTTTCCAGAGACTCGCATACCCTTTTTTGCCATACCCCTGTCTCGAATGTACGATTTTTCCTAATTTCAGGGACGAGAAAGTGTTATATAGCTTCCAAGGTAGGAACTCGCATTTACCATTTATTTACGAAAGTATATTAACACCCTACTCGTGGAAATTGCTACCAGAGCCGAAGGCGAGTGTGAATAATATGCAGAGGATAATACAATCCCTTCCTAATAAGGAGTAAATGTTATTTGTTTCTCGGGAGAGAATGTTGCGCTTTTATTCTTAAAATAAGGGTAAGGTAAAAAGTTACTATTCTCATTTTGGGATTAACACGTATTATGTACTGTTAGGAGAACAGAGGGCGGTATGGAAGTCAATAAAAAATAATAGGCAAGATAGGCTGGTAAGATACCTTGTCAGGCATTTAGAGACACATTAGAAGCAAAAACGGGAGTTAAGAGAAGTAGAGATCGACGTGGATTAGATTACTGTTTGGAAGTAGATATGGATATTGGATTTTTAGGGAAATGCGAGGATAGCAAAAGAATAGAAGTGCGTGTCCAACCAGTTTTAGGAGTGACAACCGTATTATGATGCTGATGATTGGTTTTGTCTTCCCAATTTAAGCAAACTTGGAATTGAATACAGGAGTTCAGCCCTTATTTTTGACAGGCTTATGAATTTTTCAACTTCTACCCTATTCCAAATACATAAGCCTCTGTTGCAACACTTTTAAATGATATTTTTTTTTAAGCATTCAGTTCATATAATCCCAAAAAGATACAGATAATGCTATTAGCGGAATGTACTGTACATTACCACATTCTGGCGTTAATTGTTCCAGGAATAAGTAGTAAATTGTTTGATTTTACAGGCTGCAGGATTTTCCTTCTTCGAAAAATGTAATGTTTATGATTCTCGGCAAACGTGCAATAACGACTGCCAATGAAATATAAAATATTGCCGTCTGTTTTCGTACACCAATTTCTATCTCTAGCCGGTAGACGGATTTAAACATATTAACCGTTAACAAGTAGAAAACGAAAATTTCATAATTCGATTGCGGGAATAAAAGCCCTAAAACTAATTGAATTACATTCACGTTTCCAACCAACAAATTGTCAATAACTTCAATTAAACTTTGTGGATTCAATTTTAAATCTTAATTACTTTGATAAATTGATCAGTAAATGGAGCTGTACAAATACAGTAAATTACATGACCAAAATTTAAAAATCCTTCACAACAATAACAAAAACATTGAACATAGATTGGCCGTTATTTCTATGTATCACCCTCAGCAGGAAATGTAACTGCAAATTAATTTTTAAGACTGTTTTGTGCATCTCTTATATAAATTGTGCAGAAATAGAATAGGATTCCTAATTAATATGCATTTTCAATAGCTAATAAATACATCACAGTTTCTTATAGGATGTTGAAATGATATACGAAAAAGATCCTTTAATTTAGAAATTCGAAAAAGGTTATTAAAGGTGTATGTTTGGAGCGCGGCGTTGTACGGATGCGAAACATGGATAGTGGGCGCGGCGGAAAAGACGCTTTCGAAATGTAGTGTTATAGGCGAATGATGAGGATAACGTGAGTAGAAAAGGTTAGAAATAAAGAGGTATTAGAAAGAATAGGAGAAAAGAGGACTCTATGGAAATCAATAAAAAATAGGCGAAATAGGTTGGTAGGACACCTTCTCAGACATGAAGGTCTAGTCAGACATATTAGAGGCAGAAACAGGAGTTAGGAGGGGTGGAGGTAGACCTAGATTAGATTACTGTTCGCGAATAGTTAAGGATGTGGGTTGTTCTAGGTTTAGGGAAATGAGAAGATTAGCTCAGGATAGGAAAGAGTGGAGGTACGTGTCCAACCAGTCTTAGGACTGACGACTTTATGATGATAATGACAAGATTTAAAAATATCCCCTATGCCATAAGAAAAAATGTGGTGTCTGTACTAATGTACGCGCGGGGTAGTAGTTAAATTCCTAAGTTGGTACATAGTATTTTATATTAATTACTACCGGCCGTTAATTGGTTGATAATAGCTGATTGAGTCAGCGAACAGCGGCGACCGCTGAGGCCAGATAACAATTTCTTATTGCTCAGTTGTTATTATAGTTAATTAACTTCTGTTCGTCGCTAGCACACCAAAAAAAAATGAATCACTTTGTTGGTATCAATGTAAGTATTCATACTTGTTTTTTTATTTCAGGATGTTGACAGGACGAGTGAAGCGAAAAAATATAGCCAATTCGGTGGCGACGGAACAACGAGCTTCCAAGGTACTGGGTTTGGTATTTTTCACCTTCGTGTTGTGCTGGGGTCCCTTTTTTATCCTCAACATTATCTTCGCAGCATGTCCTGAATGTCCTGTGCCCGAGCACGTGATAGACGTTTGTTTATGGTTGGGATACGTCAGCTCCACCATCAACCCTATCATTTACACGATCTTTAACAGAACATTCAGGGCCGCCTTTATCAGACTCTTACTTTGCAAATGTCACAGGTAAATTTATTCTCAAATAGGTAATAAAAAAAAAATAGGTAAAATAGTTATTACGAAAACAAATTGTCGAAGGCTTAAACAATGCAAGAATTTTGAAACCACATTCGTGATTGTTAGGTCAATCTCCCAAAGAAATACTAGTTCGTTACAACCAATTGGACCTGCTAATTTCCTAGGTACTCAAAAACGTGAACTAAAATAGACGATTATTATTTAACCTTTGCTACAAAAAATTAAAACGACGGAATAGAAAACTGAAAAGCTAAAAATAAAATTAAAATAAACCTTTCCAGTTGTATAAACTAAACAACTCCTGAACTAATGCAGGTAACTAATTTTAAGTAGGCGCCAAAGAAACAATCAACGAAAATTATTAGATTACTTTTAATGAAATAATCAACTCAAAACAACATAAAAATGCTACGCGAAATCTCTAGCGAAAAACAATAATTATCGAAAAATAAGATAAGTTACCTATTAAGACTGATCAATTTCATTTTTGGCATTTCAGTGTTCTTTTTCGTCGATTATTTTTTTTTTCACGCATAAGTCTTAATTTTTCGTCCAGTAAAGTCCAGATACATTTTACTCTTAATGAATGTGAGACGCCGATATCTTCGCATTTCGCTCACGAAACTATTTTTTGTGCTAGATATCTGTTAATACACAACTCCACATTTCTGTTCACATTTAAGAGAAAATATGGAATATTACGAACTAGTGAAAAACACGCAAAAAATCACCTGATCGTTATTTTTAAACCTGTTTGCAATTATTGCCAAAACCGTCTCAATGGAGGTCTTTCTTGTCTTCGATCTTTTACATTACTCAATCGTTTGAGTCAAAAGTAATTACGACGTGTTAAAACTTTATTTAAGGGCGCTCGATGATAAACTTTCAATTATTATCACCCTGCAAAAGATGAGGAAAAGGGTATGTAAGGCTGTCTTGGGCGATAAAAAATATAAAGCCAGACATTGCCTAAAGCTAACGTATTTTCGTGACTTTCAACTCTTTAACAACTGCATTAAACGTTTTCGTAATTAAAAGTTCCAAATAGGTAATTTTCGTCGACAACGTGATTAATTTTCTTATTAGAAAGGACTAAAGGGAGACGGAGGGGTTGGTTTAAAGTTCCTCACAAAAGGTGGGCATGAAAGCCTATTAAACAGCAGAAGTTTAAGTTGATCAGCGAGCTACTTTATAGACACATACTTCCGAAAAACTGTCTCAATGGCAACCTTTTTCCCATTTCAAATCTCCCGTTGGTTATTTCCTTTTCCTTTTACTCTCGACTAACGGCATCCTTAGGATCCTTTTATCATCATATTCGACTTATTTACCTACATTAATTCAATGAACCGTAAAAATTTAAACAGCTCTTTCCTTTTCGATATCATCTGAAGTGCGCAGCCAATTGAGCCATTTCAGATATCGTTTGTGTTTACGATCCCGAATAAATACATACATATACAGCAGGAATCGATTATTCGATATAATCGCAACAGTATTTCACGTAAAAAAATTTCACGTAAAACATAATAATGAATAATGCTAGCAACAAAAAAAAATCGGTAGTCTGTAAAGTCGGTTTACTGACGATAGTTAAACGTGACAACGTCATAAGAAAATACTGATGGAATGGTTTCATTTTTCAAGAGAAAATTTTAATTTTATTTGTTTGATAGATATTTTGTATGGATATAGAGAAGGAGGTAAATGGAAATGTATTATTGTATAGCAGCTGTCCACGCGGAAGCATCGCTCACTCAAGTAGGAGAGAGACAGATGTCGAACGCTGCCGAACGCGGAGGCCGATCGTGCCTCTTTGTCGCTCGTTCCGCGCTCTCGCTTGCACTTCAAGCCTTAAATGGAACGCCTCAGAGCGAGGTAACGCCGCATGAGTCATGTTTTTTCGTGCGTGCAGCCGGCTCCATCGAATTATAAGACGTTGTCACGTCAAAAACATATTGTAAATTATCTTTTCACGCCGAAGAAAATTCTTTGTCGTAAGCTAGATGCATCGGATTGTGATTTTTCCGGCAATTAGCTGTGCCACTACAGTTAATGGTTCATGTCTTTGTTCTGACAGGCTTTTTATTAAATACCACCCTCACCAACGTCCGAAAGCAATCATTAAGTCCCGTTTAAAAAGTCGTTTAAACATTAAACCAATGAAATTTTAATTCTTGCTTCACGGATTTTCAACGAGAGGGTTGAGTTGAAACCGTTAAAACGAGCCTACATATAATGTTCATCAATACTAAAAGCCTAAGGTGACAAAATCATCCTAATATGTAATTTGTCGTTAATCAAAACCTGATATACCAACAAGCGATAGGAATTGTAGTAGTTCGGCCATACTGATGTATTCTTGTTCACGAGAAAAAGTAAAGACAAGAACTATATCGAGATTTAGTATACTAATCAATAAATAATACGAATTAGGACGAACGAACTCAATACAATCTTAACTACCAATTTTCATTAGGTAAGTTTTTTGTTAAACTTATTAAATTACTATTATTGCTAGTGTTGGTTTTTTCTTTCTTCACTGGTATAATTATTACCAGGCACGGCACTGTCCCGGGTACCCGGCGTCATTACCCGGTGCCCGGCCGGATCCAGGCCGAGCATTAGAAATGATAATCGAAAATAGTAGTTATTAAAATCTAAAATCACATCTTTAACATAATTGATAGTCAATACTGGTACGGTACCCACCTACAATTTATTTTTAGTTTTAGAGTTAAAACGAGTACTTAATAAAAGATAGTAGATATGTCAATAATGTAAGAAATACCACCCAGCAATACAAACAGTTCGATCTTTTATTCTCTTCTGATAAAAATTTGAAATAAATTCACTTAGCGTTTTTCTAAATTATGTGCTCAGTTGATTCAAGAAACTTATAAGTTAAAAAACCTGCAAAACTAACATTTTCCTTCGGCACATAACAGTAATTTCACCGATTTTGTGTATTTTCTGTTTGTTGCTGAAAGCTAGTTTAAAAATATTCTTTTTAATCCCAGCAAAAATATAGTTCTCAGAACGTCGACTATTGAACCTAATAGTAAACATTACAATATTAACTTTGTTGACCCAAGTTTGCCGAAAACGCCACTCACTTTGTTACCGAATAAAACGAAAAAATTGAGAGACGCCGTAATGGAATAAATACTACGAACGACGAAGAAGAAAATTGAACGATCTGTAGAAATTTGATATCCTTTAAATCCATTAGGAAATCCAAATACTTATTTCTTTAATTTCAATTACTAAAATCATCTTGAGTAACAGCTTTGTTACTGCGTAACTCAGTAAGGTCGGCTGTCCACGAACCCGATTAAACTGAAGTCGGGAGGACGACGGTTGGGCGATAAAAAACAGCCACGTACCTACAAGTGGTAAAATCGCGACGCGACCCAAATTGTACGATACATAGGTTAAGACGCTGCAAACACGATGAGAAATCGGATCGGATCCTCAGCCTTGTACTCCTTTATTCTCTTTTCTACTTACGATCCGATCCGGTTTAGTTAACCACAATCATGTTGTGGTTCATATTTAAAAGAAATAATCACCAAGAGAATATAAATATTAAATACTACTAAACACATGTTTTTTATTTAAATTATTATAATTATTACTTTTTATTTAGGTTATCAAGACCGACACGATATAGATCAGTAACTGAAGCAAGGGGTGCAGCTAGTTTGTGTAGGCCGTCGGCTTTACCTTTGGCCATCAGTTTGCAAGGGACGCCACTGGTAACACCGGGCTCTGAAGAAACGTCTTACATGGTTATCAGGACATCGTCCTCAAACTTCAAGGATACGGACGATTCACAGGACGAGGATATCTGACGAAAAACTGACGTTGGAACGCGAACGTTAATAGGCCTTTTTTAAACAAACGTTAAACAATCTAGGTTTGCAAAAAAATATTTTAGCAAATTTCATTCTTTCATCAGAATTTGTCTTTTATAAACGCACACCGAAGAAGACGGGAACAAGGCATGATGATGTTTCTTCTAATGTATGTATGTATCTAGTTTACGGTGAACTAAATTTACATATATATATAATAGAATATACAATAAAAAAACGTTCAAAAGTAAATTTATAATACATTACAGCCTCTGTATAGTGAAAACGTTTCGAATCTAAAAAAGTTACTGTTCTCTTCATCTCAGGCTCAGACTCATGATATCGCAATAAGTTAAACTAGATGTGACCTGCATTCAAATTGCATTGACTAAAGTAAAAGCAAAACCTGAAATTTTGTATTTACTTTCCATTTAAAGGCTGTTACTTTTCACTAATTATAAGTGAACTGTGGACTTTTAAAACCTTCTTAAACAATTCATACTAAAACTTTTATAAGTTAAACGTTTTGAGGTTTTCCTTCAACTATAAATAATTTAACGAGATTCCAGCTACTGAAACTAAAATGTAGACTAAAATTAAACTTTTTAAATTGTTTTCATGCGTCCTGATCCACTTTAAATAAAAAAAAAATATATATATNTAGGGTGTCCCAGTTATAATAATTAATATTTATACCACAGACTCCTATGGGCATTTGGGCATAAAATGTTATAACACTTTTAAATTTTGAAACAGAGTAATACAAGGATGAGTCCAGAAGGATCAAGTTGGTTATTTTAGAGACTAAATATAAAATATATGCAGTGTAAAAGTAAAAAAGAAAAGAAACAGTACGGATGACATATGTAGCAACAATATCCAAATAATGTAATTATTTATTGACTTATTTAGTTGTAAAAGAAATGTACAATGGCATATATACCGATATCAATCGCTCATTATTAGAAAGAAAAACATACATAGATATTAACCTACAAGCCTACATATATTTTTAAAATCAAATAAGTATTTATTGAGCATTAAATGTAAAGTGTATTGTTAATAGTTAATAATTTAGAACTTCTGATCGTATATTTAATGTGATATACCAGCATTATGATATAAGCGTATAGCCATCACAGCCGGAGGAGTCATGATTACATGAATGTCGAAAGGACTTAAAAAACGAGAACATCATGCATTAAAAACAACAAAACTTGAGACAACCATAATCTTGTAAGGTGGTTATAGCTGTCGCAAATCTTTCTTTTCATTTTTACAGCTTTTACTAGACAATATTGTCCTTTCTTAACTTCATTCGGCATTCGACTAATTAATATATTCGTAATTCCTCCTCCTATACTCTTGTTAATACAATAAAGAGGTGAAGTTACCTATAATCTGTATTATTACGAACTTGTAATAATTACCTAACAATAAATCTGTCTAAGAAAAAAATAAAAGTTTTATTGAAACTATTTAACAGTTTCGATTCATTGTTAATTCTTTCTCCAAGAAAATAAACTACGGAAAAGAAGGTACTTACAATTTCCGTTCGTAAGCCACGTTGTTATTTAGATACCTATTTATTTGTCGTAAAACTTTGTTGCCTCGAGCGTAATAAAATATTCAATTATGTATAATACCTGAGAGCGGGATGGTATTTGATGTTTTCTTCATTTTTTTTTTATTTACAAACAAACCTACGTATCAGCACAAGATTTTTAATTGACGTTCTACTTACTTTTTAGTTTCGCATCTCATAAATAAACAAAATTTATTAGAATTTAAAGCGGCAGTGCTTATTTAAAATTTATTCTTTTATTTGTTCGCACCTTTTAAATCAAATATTCTGATTATGAATAAGTAGGTACACTGACTAACTTCAACGCACTTTGCATAATTACGATTGACTACAATTTTTTACCTGCCCTAGATATTTTAGGGAAATTGGAAAGTTGGAAAGTTGAGATGTATAGATTAGAATTAGATATAGTAGGCATTAGTGAAGTCCGTTGGCTCGAAGCTAGAGGCTTTTGCAGTGGAGACTTTAGAATAATACGACAGAAAAAGAAACGAGTGCGTACATAGGATTTGTAGATTTAGAAATAGAGATTTACAATGTTAAATAGAATAAAATGTTAAATACACTTAAAAATGTAGAGATGAGTTACAGAGATAGGAGTGTGATACTTAGTTTGTATAAAGTGAAACAGGCAGTTATAGAGCTGGTGCTGCAACATACAGAAGTAAATATTAGGAAGGGAGTCAGACAGGGATGCACACTGTCGCCGCTACTTTTTAATCTATACATTAAAGACAGTACAACTAAAGGGGTAGATATACAGGCGCAGAAGATTAGTATGATTTGCAGATTTAGAGATAGCTTTAAATAAAATAGAAGAGATGTTGACAGTGGTATGTAAGGGAATAAAAAGTAGCGAAAGAACAAATACAAAGACAGGAAAAATTAGAAGAAGTAGCCGATTTTACATATCTAGAAAGTCAGATAAGTCAGGACGGAAGAAGTAGTATGGATATAAAGAAGGGGATAGCGCAGGGTCGAGTCGCCTTCAATAAAAAGAAGTCACTTCTATGCTCGCGAACGGTTAATTTAGAAATTCAAAAAAGGTTGCTAAAGGTTTGGAGCGCGACGCTGTACGGGTGCGAAACATGAACGGTGGGAGCGGCGGAAAAGAAAAGGTGATGGGGACACCGTGGATAGATGTTAGAAACGAAGAGGTATTAGAAAAAACAGGAGAACAGATGACTCTATGAAAGTCAATAAGAAATAGGCGGGATAGGTTGGTAGGACACCTTCTCAAGGTCTAGTCAGAGAATGTTTTGTGTTGTGACGAAATAAATATATGACGAAAGAATACTTTCTGGTATCCTCACGTTAAACGCCAAATTAATAGCGAGTAACTAGTTCAAAAAAGTGGTAAACGACGATAGTTTTGTAAAATATTTAATTATTAACACTTAACACTTACTTTATACATATAACAATTATAATTATCTAGGTAGCTCTGAGAATCTCAATTTTAATGTGTGAAAGTTATTGGTTGCGAATGATGATAATGAATGTCTGTTGATGAATGCTTGAATGCTTGTGAATATTTCTCTTTCGACCCTTAAATACACTTATAACTAGTTCCCTAACTGAGCGTAGCGAGCGTTGTTTGGGGGTGCAAAAACGGTTCCGCTAGCAACAAGGTTATTACCCTTATCCAGGTACTTCTATAAATATTTCGGAAAAATAAAATTTGGAAACTACACCAATAACCACGAAACGTGACTAACAAAAGATACAAAGTTTTATAACAGACGGTACTTCACAAATAATTAATAAAATGCCTTTCTCACGCCGGCTATAGAATTTAAATTTATACAAAAATATCTTCGAATAATAAAATAATACAATATTTATTGCATGAGATGCAACAGAGAAAGAGGCAGAAACGGGAGTTAGGAATAGTAGAGATAGACCTAGATTAGATTACTGTTCGCAAATAGTTAAGGATGTGGGTAGTTTTAGTTTTAGGGAAATGCGAAGATTAGCTCAGGATACGAAATAGTGGAGGTGCGTGCCCAACCAATCATAGGACTAACGACCTTATGATGATAATGATAACGATTATAGATATTTTACTTTATTGCATCCGACATTGTAATAATGACCCAAGATTCTGTACAAACGAAAATGACAACAGATCAAAATTCTATGCAAACACAAAACCTACCCCAAAATTGAACTTGACACTACTAAGAACTTTAAATGTGAATTACGTGTATGATAAGAGAAATTTAGAAAGACGTATTGTATCTTTCTGTATTGTATTCGGCGCTTCAGGCAACGGGACGTCTGAATACGCAGAAGTTTCGAAGTTACAAAAACCGTTCGGCAAAATCCCATCTGAAAAGCGGCTTTCTTTTGTTGCCTTTTTACACGAATCACTTTATAATGCCGTTCAAATGATAGTAAAACCGGTCGAATTAGAAATACCGATTGAAGTAGATAAGCATAATGGTTTTCGTCTTTACACTGGCTGAACAACAAAAAAGAAGAAATGACTTGAAATAGGAAAAAAATTCAAAGAGCGATAAGTAAATGGACGATTTCAAAGCAAATAACTCACCGGTTTTAACTATATCTCAAATCAAATGATACCAAATCGACCGATAAACGAAATTGGTATAACCGCCAAGACCTGACCTTCTGCATAAGTCAAGGGTGGCTAACCCCATCCCGCGAGATTTATCAAGATCATCATGCTGGCATAAGCAATATATGTATAGGTGAACCAAGGATTATTATTAATATTATTAACACAATTTATGATGACGATTTTTCAACTAATGAAAAAATACAGAAATACTTTGATTTAAAGGAAACACGACGTACAGCATTGAGCGATTCAAAAATTGCAGTTTTCCTTAAATCAGAAACGGAAGTCTCAAATTTGCTTTATTGTGAACAAAAACTGCAAAGATTTTCCCACTAGTGCTATATGTACATAGATGTAATCTACACTGTGTAGGAGTTTCCTGTAAACAAGTTATTGATTTTCCTCAAACAGGATCCTTTATGAACAAAACACATAGCAAAGGAAAGCTTCCTGAAAATAATGGCAGTTACGCCATCTGTAGACGAAAAACTACCACTACACGACTATGACAATTGTAGGGGAAAAGATTAAGGATAATTTTCCTTTAAATTCCTAAAATTTCAAAAGATGTCAAATACCTCGAAGGTAGACTAGAAGAACCATATGGAATTGTTAATATTTATCTGCCAAAGATGAATAAATGTACTTTTCCACATAATTTAATAAAATGTGTAGAAAACATTAATAATAAGGCTTTACTAATGGTTACCTCAAAATTATCTCTGCTTACATAATAAAAAAAATAGCTAATACTCAAATTAATTCAGACAATATTTTAGTAATTGCTAGCTGTTCCTGTGGCTTCATCCTTAACATAAAAATAATTGTCGTCACGGACTTTTTAAACTTTATAGAATTTTTTTGTAAAAAGCATTCATGTACCTATCTTTCGAAAGTTTTTTGTCGACTAATTACATTGCAGAAAACCTCTTTTATTGCAGCGGAATGATTTACAGTTACTCTAAAGCTCCATTCTGTACATTGGTGAAAGAATTTTTGAAA